GATTCTCACCATAATACTAACATCGGCCAACGTATGGTACTTTATTCGATCGACCTTAACCATACTTTTATATAGAAGGGGAGTTCAATATAGTACGCGCAGAATTAAATATTACATGGGTGCAAAAGTAATATTTTAAATTATAGGCACAAAAAAAGTGTTTAAATATGTATTTAAAAGACTCTCGCATAGATGTGGTGGAAAGTGATCCAGAGATCCGATGTCAAGAATATATATGTATTTAAAGTTGAGCAAAACACGAAATGCATTGAACTATTCGTTTTCAATTTAATTTATTTTTATTAAAAATGTAAATTCAGAAAATGCGGAATACCATAGTTTTGTAGACCATTGACCTGTTCTTGAATCGTTTCTTATACGGATGCACAAATAATTTTCTCACTGTTTACATTTTCCGATGATTTAATTTGATTTGCTTATTATTCCTCCTTTTTGTAGCTTGGTTTTGGATTACAGAACATTTTACATTATGCGTATACATATAATGGATTATAATATTTATATATGGGATTGTGGTTTCTTGTGCACGAATTTGCAATTATAAAACAAAACCAAGCATCTATTGATAGCAATATACATATACATATATATGGTGTTATACTTATTTATCTTTTACAACTGAATCGCAAGCACATTGAGCGTAGCACATTGTGGGAAACATTTTTGTATATTCTTGTGTAAAAAGCAAGCGCTGAATTGGATAAATCCGATGGTTTGCTTTCGGAGACAGGGGATGACGGATATACATTATATTTTTCACAACAATCAATTTTGGCTAATACTTAATAAGCCCCAAAAATGTGACTCGACTGTATATTAGGGTATGTACTATAATGCCATATGAATTATATTTGATTATAACGTACGTGTTTTTATTTTCTAGGCATATCCAATATCCGACAAGCAAGCGGCTTTGTTCTCTTTTTTATTACGTTTCTAAAATTTCGTTTTACACAAAAATATTATGCGCCTATGATCTGATGGAAAAATATATTCCATTTATAATGTAATTGTGTGCTGATGTTTTTTAGTTTATAAATTTTTCAAGTTTTTTATTGGGTATTCGTTTCTCTTCTGGTTTCTTTTTTTTTTTTTGTGGGCCACAGCCGCACAGCTTTAGCTGAAATTAGGTTAAAAGATGCTGGTTGGAGTTGTGGAGCTGATAGATACCTTTTTGGCGTAACCCATGTCGGCTGAAAACGTGCACCCATTCGCCAAAGAACCGAACCATATCTATTTACTGATCCTCATCGCCGAGCTCATGCTTAATTTTGGAGAAGTCAAACGTCTCGCCAGTTCCGCGCTTGAAAATGTTTAGAACATCCAAGCAAGTGGTCTCAAAGTGTGTAGTGGCATCATACGATTCCGAGATAAAGATCTGTGAGTCGAGCCCATTGTCTATTGGCTCCAAATAATCAGAAATGGTGACGAACTTTTGTGCAATCGGTTCCAGCAAATCCAGTCCAGGCTTGATTTCCACCTCGGGATTCTCGGTCTCTACTGTAGTCGAGACCATGCCCACAAACCAACCCTTGGCTGCCACCTGGTGAGTGGAGCTGACCAGCGATACATAAATGTCCGATTTGCGACCAACTTGCTTTTGTGGAATGATGATTTGAGTGGATAGGCCATCCTTAGTGCTTGCCACCGGATGGTCCAAGATGCAAATGCATCGTATAACCTTGCCACGTTTGCGCACCTGTTGCCGAATACATCAAGTAATATATGTTGAAGAGAAGAAACCAGCCGCATCAAATAACTAGATAACCAACCTTGTCGGGCACGTAGGTGGGGTCACAGTACACCTGCTTGCATTTGGCAATTTCATCGCCTGAGCGTACACCCACCACCTTGCCGCCTTCGCCCAGAACAATCTCGTCAATCGGCTTGTCTAGCATGTAAGTACCGCCATAGATAGCCGAGAGGCGAGCAAAGCCCTGCGGCAGCTCACCCAGACCGTACATGGGGTATAGATATGGCGATTTGCCATATCGCGCCAGAGAGTCCGAATATAGTTTGATTCGTCGTATGGTGTTGACAGCCGGCTCGTTCAAATACTCGTCATCACGGAACAGCGCCAGAGCATGGCCCGTAAAGTCCTGCGTGTTCTTGTCAAGCCCGAACTTGTCGTACAAGCCCTGCATGTTGGCTTTAGTTGGATCAAAGTCCTTCCAGGTCTTTGGGTCATCCTCTCTGAAGTCCTGCACATAGATCAGGAAGTTGCGGAAGCGCCGCTTTTCAAACATACCTGGAGAACAAACAACAAGCCGCATTAAACTAAAGGAACCACTCCAACAAGGACAATCTTAGGTGTGGGCGTTGCGCACTCGCATTAGACTTCCAAATATTTACACGCTGCACACTTTAAATTAAGGGTTAAGGGCGACCAGCCGTTAAATGACGTCATTCTGTCGTATACATAGAGGCTTATAATGAATGGTTCGATGAACCTTGCAACTAACAAAATTGGCAACTAAAATAAATCAAAGAGAAATTCGCTGCTGGCTACAAACAAAAAACATTCATAAATGGAGCGTGATTGGCTAATTGCAAATTGCAGTCGCACGATGGTAATTGTTTGAAACATTTTGTTTTAAAAGAAAACAAACAATTCGAACGGCTACAACAACCACAACATCAACCAAACAGGTGTAGAAAAGTGAATCAGCGCAAATGTTAATTGCATGGAAGGTATGCACAGGGTTGCCACATAGCGCAGTCGAAACAGCTGGCAGCTCCAGAATTCTAATTGGCATTAAATATGTATGTATGTAGGTGCGCTAAAAATCCCAATTTGCTTTTTATTCGTTATACAAAGTTGTGCACGCACTTACATGTACAGCTATACAAATCAAAAGCATATTCATTAAAAAGTGTTTAAAAACACACGGATAGAACACACAGGGCCCCAACAAATACGTGTCACAGCCACAGCAAAAACACCAGCGAGTGCCAATCGCCGAAAGTAAGCCGAGACAAAGAAATATGGAGAAAACGCAAAAGGGGAGCGTAGATAATTGTGAAGTATGTACATATGTACATATATATGTACATACAATTTTCGCATGTACCTTATGCTTTCACAGTTAATACCGAAAGGTAAATTTGCAAAAAATTCATAATTGTTTTTTTTTTTGGAATTACTCACCCATGAGATCAGATGCCAGGGCCTCTTTTTGATCCACCGGCACTTTGGCAATTTTTCCACCCTTGTAAACGTAACTGCCCTCAATTGACTTGAACTCCAGATAACGGGTAACGCCCGTGTGTATCAGAAGTTTTACTAATTGGCCATTTGCCATCAAAAACTTAGGAATCAAGTCAACGTTCCAGTCACGACCACGCCCAAATTTCTCGCCTGGCGGCTCCAATCCATACCGTTGGAACAGCTCCTCCAGCGGCGTAATGGAGGCCGACTCGCCGCCATAGTATTTGTTGCGATCAATATGCAGAACTTTCTTGCCCGAAACTGAGAGCATGCCGCTCAATATGCACTCCTTCAGGCCAGTTCCCAGAACTATCGCATCATATTCCTCATTCATGTTAGCGTTTTTATTAGTATGCAGCAGCGACTTTTAAAAATCAAAAGTTTTCACTTTGCGACGTTGTAGACGTTTTACACTTCGTTCAATACAATTTTCTCTACTCGTTTGAAAATGCCAACATCTTCCCTTTTCTTACGTATTTCAGTTGTACCTCTACCTGGTCTCACTGTTCAGAATGACTGTTAAGTTAACAGAATTTGCACTCGCTGATTTTTTTTGCGTGCTGTTAACTGTGCTATCTGTATGGTTTCGCATTTGGCATTAACGCGCATGCCTTAATTGGCGCGTTACTTAAAGCAATACGCTAGGCATTTTCGAAAACAGAAATTTAATAACTATTACTCTTTAGTGACAAGACATGTAACAAAAATATTAATAAGTGTCGAGCAGGACTTAAATCGTTACATGGCATACTCTGTTTGTAAACTGAGACTGCTGTTACTATGTCAGTCTCACTCTATAACTCATTATAAGCACACTCCAGAGCAAATAGATAGAAAATGATTATATTAGTCGTAATATGCTAGAGTTGTCTTGAAATCAAATAAAAGCCTTTTACTGCCTACATTTTTAAAATTCCGTAGTCTACTCGATTTAGCTATTAACATGCAAAGTTAGAGTAGCAACCATGCTTCTGCAACCATTCTACTGCTGTTAGATATATCGGTATGTCAGGGAACGAACGCGAATATAGCGATATATCGATTACATATGCCTAATTACATCGATAAAACAATTTTTACTTAGTCAAAAAAAAACCATTGAACGAGATGGACGCGTTTGTTGTTATTATTTAGTTATTACTTTTCTGTCGCCGTTTGTTGTTTTCTTGTGTTGCCGAAGAAATAGATTATTTGCATTAAAAGAGCTGCAAATAATATCCACGTTCCAATGTACATGATTTTATGTTTTAGTCTATTGTTCTAAAAACAACTGAAATTAGTGCCCCAGCCAGTGTTTGTGAGTGTGTGTGCCTGGTACTTACTCGAAACCGAAACAAAGCGTGTTTGTGATGTGTGTGAAAAAGTCAAAATGCAATTTGGGCTGAAATTGTATTGAAATTCTGATACCAACAACAGCCATCAACTTGGTTACAAGCCACTCAAGAAATATGTACATACCTACGTGTTAGAAGACCCACACAGTCTGGCCGATACGTGAATAGTATTGGAGAAAAAGTGAGCGGTTCGTTCGCTGTGTTGCGTGTGGTATTTGTGGTACGAAAGTATTGAGAGGCAAACGTAATTAAATGTATTAATTGAAAATTGTTTGAAATGAAATTTAACGTCAATTTCATGAAATCATCGTCTGCAGTTTTCTTAGTGTTTTCCATTGTGCGCTTGTTGTGTTTTCTGTAGCTGTTGCAGTTGTTGTTGACCTCGGCTATGATTTGTCGTTGCTATGCTCAAATTTTGTCTCTTTCAATAAAAATAGCAATATACATATGTATATAAATAATCAGTGTGTATACAACTTGTGATTTGAAAAAAAAAAAAACAAAATTTAAAACTCAATTAAAAGTGACTTAAAGAATTACCATATCAACATTCTCCAAGAAGAATCTTATTTTATATCGGGTAAGTTATAAAAACGAGTTTTTTCCATTGTTAAATTAACTATATTTTATTATACTGTACTCACCGTACAGCAAACTCAGACGTACGAAACGAGTTAGTTGCTTAGAACCAGTTCCTCAGTTTCTCAGACGGCCTCGCCTTCTCCAACTAACAAGCGAGTCTCTGTCTGACTCGCAGCTTCTCTTGGTGGACTCGTCAATAGTTTGCAGACTCGAACTCATTTTAAGTTTGCAACACATTCCCTTTGCACCACCTTTCCTCTCCAGACTATTTACTTTTTTCTTTCTTACCTGTTCAACCAGAATTCGATAAGCAAACGAACGCCAATCCCGACTTTCTCTCATACCCTGTCACCATGTGGATGCTAAAAGGGTGCCTGACTAAGTAAGGCATTGATTAATATACCCAATCAATAAATTATATATTATTATGCATTTTCTTGTTAGTTTTTTGTATGTAGAAAATTAGAATCCTGAAAATCAAAGTGTTCATCGATTGTTGTGTTACTGCGAAATTCTGTTAAAATAGAGCTAAGGCAATAAAATTCGTATACTCATGTATGATATGAAAATATTTAAAGGAAAACGCTTACTAAAGATCAATTAAGAAATCTGGCACAGATCCATCTCTAGGGTCATTGTTGCTACATCACACACTGGCTAAGAACATGCAATTGTTTAAGCGTTAAAAATACAGAATATAATCTTGTTTGTATCTCGGATAAAGACTTTTCTATATTTTCAAATGATTGAGGGCTCGACTAGGTCAAAATTCTAAAAGAAGATATCTGATAAATTAAGTATGTACGTTGTGCTGGCATAATCAGAATATTTCGCTCTGCTCATTGTAGAAGCACGTTTTCAGTTCATTTCACATTCCACATTCTTTTTTCACAGAGAGCATCTACACGTTGGGAAGATGTTGACGGTTTACGCGCTGTTATCTCTCTTTTTGCCTATGCAGTCTGTTTGGCGTTCTAGTTCTCTCTTATGCTCTCTGTACTTGTGGCCGCGGGAACCGTTAACGTGGCGCTGCCAATTGCCTCCAGTTTCTGCTGCTGCAGCACACGTCAGTCGTCTTTAGCTACACATACAGATGAGCATACAGATCTTTGAGGCCTGATACGCAGCTCGCATCCGTTCCGTTTGTTGGTTTTGCACGGCTGTAATTATTTCCATTATTTGTTAGTTTTAGTCCGCATGTGCGTTCAAACAATATAAATACAACCGCCACATCATTTATTTATGTTTGATTACGTTTTGGCGCGCTTTACGATCGTTCTTATCACTTCATCCCATACGAGCCACTGGGTTTTTTAGCTTCCTGCCAATTTGCAGACTATCAAATTCTTAAAAAACAGTCATATATAACTGCTATAAAGTGTTCTCGTCGAGAGTGCCCGACTAGGGAATACCCTTTTTCATGCTTTCCTACCCAAAGCACACACACAATCAGCCTCAAACTCATTTTCAAAGATCTTTGTTCAAATTTTTTCAAAGACATACATAAAAACTAGATGAACATGTGTTTCAGCGATTTGGAAAATTCCGCCGCAACTGTGGAAATTTTGCAGTAACCTTGCCACGAGCAAGGCCGGGAAATACTTGCTAGTGATAATATAAATATAATTTTGTAATGATCATATGGGTCCCAAAGATCTTGATGTGTAAATACAATTTTATTAGGAACATACCGGAGTTTGATAAGCCTCAGGGAAATAAAAATACGTGACTGACATTTCACGCGAAATTTCTTATCAATTTGTGTGTATATGTATTCTGTATCTAATGCTTATAGCGATAGACCGGTGCCAAAATTGCTGACGTAGCAAACCCTGCCCTCAGACTGCTATAGAAATGTTGAGCCCTTTTTAGGCACAATACTGACAAATGTACAAATTATTGTCATCCGATTAGCTTAGTCCATATAACCTTTTCCCTTCCCCGGAACCTGCCGGATCGGACAACTATATCATATATGTGTCTTAGGAGCGATCGATCGAAATTTAGGTTCTTGTATGGAAAATTTTTTTATTTATCAGCATTTACGAGATTCATTATTCTTACATATCTGCAAACCCGTAATACAAATTTCTGCAAGAGCATAAAATCATCATTTCTCGTTCTTTTATCAATTTAAAATAAACCGGCCGGACTGACGGTTGTTGATGCTGCTCAGAACCGAATGAACGAAAAAATAATCGCCAACTTTGCTGTAAAGTCGACAGTATCGAAAACTCAACTTTCAAATATTAAAATAATGAAAAAAGTTATCTATATGTGAATATGTAGAGTACTCATATCCGTTTTGTATAACTCGTTCCATGAATGATGTTGGTTTTTACCAAACATGATTTATTGCCACAGTTTAATCGTGTTATATATTTAAATGCGCCACGACATCTGCACTTTTCTTATATGTTTGGCTTATCTCGCTTTTGATTTTTATACGCTCATAAACTTAAAATGCTGTATTTTTTTTATGCATTTCACTGCGCTTTTTTGGTTCCAGTTAATCGAGACATTGAACATTGAAAACACATGCCCTTAAAGAGTTTAAATAAACCGACACAAATAAAAAAAATAAATAAATTATAGAGTTAGTATATATAAAGACATATCACAATAAATCATTTCTTCAAATTGGATAGTCTCTAAACTTAATCGTTAATTCATAATTAAGTTGCTGAGAGTCTTCAGCGTCCTCTCGACCAAGTTTTCCGACCATCTCCACAGTCACTAGCCCTAAGGTCTATTAATTAAATGGCCTCTCTATCAACACTTACCTTTGATTCGGGTAAATTTTCCTTCGCGTTTTGCAGTTTGGGGGTTTTGGGGAGATTTCCCATGCGTTGTCACATGCAACGCCTCTCAGTGTGATTCCCCAATCATTATTTCACTATCGAAAAGTAAGGGAGTCATTTTTTGGTCATTTTATCAAAGCTTTATCAAAGACAGATCGGGTTTCTCCTAGAAGACCGATATATTTGTGTTTTTTAACTATAAATACATCGAATATATCTTTTTGAATCAGATTTTTATACATTTTCTATTTGCCTTCCTCGGGTATTTAGAAGCGTTATCACTTTTTAAAGCGTCAATTTATATATTTCAAGTATACGGAATTTAATGTTAATGTGTAATAATTTTGATATGCACTATCTACAAATGAAGGGTACGATTGTTGTGCATTTTTAAAGTGCACAATATAGTTACGAAAAGGCTTTGTAGCAAAAGTACATTGACATGATAAGAATGAAGTGTACATATTTGTAGGAGCACATACAATCATTTTCACTCATGCTTGCTGAATCACTGCATTATACAAGTAAGAGTGCCCCAGTCGGGAGTGTCCGACCATGAGATACCCTGAATCCAGCAAAGCAAAGACGTCAATTGCCGAGCTCTTAACGCAATGTGTGTGCTTCTTCTTTTCTCATCCCCACACTCTTTGAAAATGTAAATATAAATAAGAAAGAAAAAAATCAGAAGGTTTTAAAATGATTATTTCCAATTTAGCGGATGACCAGGGGAGGTATCCGATATATACAATTTTCTTTATCTTTATATACTTTTCGAAAACATAAATGTGCGCAATAAAAAAAATACAAGATAAATTCACACCCAATTCAAGGTTTCAGCTTTTATATTTCCCTTTCAGCGTAAACATACGGATGGACCCTTTATACCCATTATATATATATATATATATATATATGAAACCCATTTTCAGTCGATGCCAAAATGAATCGCTTGGCCGGTTATTGGCACAGCTGGCACAGCTCAAGTGCTTTAACTGATAAATAGAAGAGAAGCAAAAATAACTCATTTCCCAAATATACAAAATGAACGAAAGAATTTTCTTTAGCCTGACCAATTATTTCTCTATTCAATGGTATTTCTTCCGATTGTTTATCTGTCGAATTGTTCTGAATCCAGCAACAAATAAAATATTTAAATTTTTAAGTATACAAAGCTGATAAACATTGAAGAATTAGCACAATTTGCGCAATTAATAATTCACTTTCTACTCACCCTACCCTCAGCTATACTTTTACCTGATTCATAAACAGCGATAACTACCCCGCCAGACGGAATCACATCAGATGTATTCACAGCCCAATATAATGTTTCTCCCAGCAATAGCAGGAACGTTGTGGTTTCTGAAATTGGGATGCAGCTGTTAGTCAGATTTAAATTTTCCATGGTCGGATAACGGGTGAAATAAGTTATATTTAAGACTAAAAGCATAAAGGGGTAGTACATGCTAGATATCCATTGCGTTGAATATAACTTTTTCACCCGATATGCGACGTGCAAAATTTAAATCCAGCCGTACTAGAAAATCAATCAAATAAAGAGCCAAAAGTTTGGAATAAACAATTTACGCCCCATGTTAATCTTGGGGTAAGAATCTTTAAGTTTTAATTTAAAGCTTTGAGAGTAATTTTAAAGCCTTTAATCTACCTTAATCTACCTCAGATTAAGAGGCCTGAATTCGCGAAAAGTGTTAAATACTGGAATGAATCAATTTTGAACGAGTTTTTCGCAAAATCTATCGCTCTTGGATGAAAAATTGTGCACATCTAAAATTTAAAGCACAAAGTCTAGGAAATACCCACTATATATATATATACTTTTGTCCACATCTAAAATTTAAAGCACAAAGCCCGGGAATACCCACTAATACATATATATTTTTTATTTTGTTAGTCCACATTTGAGCAGAAAATCTCTCAATTGTGTTTCATTGTGAGTATTTGAGAAGTGGAAACCACTGATAGTCGCCTTAGTTCCTCATAAATTCTTTGTGATATCGGCTCGCGCTTTAACTAATTAGTTGCTATCACTTTAATTATTTTAAGTGCTGACTTCAAAGTGCTGGAAGAGGAGGTGCGTCGGCCCGTGGGCTTGGTCCTCTGGCCGTTATTGTATTTAAACCCGAGCCCATTGAAAATGGGTGTATAGAAGAAAGCACCTCAAGCCCCATACTTAGTCAGTCTGTCTATACTAGTCAGTCTGTCTATACTTAGTATGTCTGTTTGTCCTTGCGTCCGTATTTATGTACGCGACAATCTCAGAATTTATAGGAGATAATCAATTACTTGCTCTGATAAAAATCGATATCGTAATCCCTTTTTTCTCTTATGTTTTTAATGTTTTAAGATCTAGAGTCACCAAATTTGCCACGTAGCTTTTTGAGTAGTATGTACATCGCCGCCAAATGGAATGGGAATTTCGTAAGGCATACTAATAAATATTTGTGGTTTATGGTATTCGTGGCATTTTTAATAATGGCAAATAATTATATATTACATGCATGTCGATGAGTTTCGAGTGTGCACTGATATCATTAATTGTCATTCAAGGTCAGTAAAAAATTACCGATTAGTAAATAAGTCCAGCAAATAATCGTGTCGTGTGGCACCAGTGAGTAGAGTACAGTGATTAAAATCATGAAAGTATATTATATTTTATATTGTTATTACACGCATCAATGCGCAGTTAACTTCAATATGCTATTTACCTTGCATAGCAAATAAGTCTATGGGCGGGGCGGGCAAATGTTAAACAATTCATCCATAGATTTTAATTTATACATAAAAAGAAATCTAGGAAATCTTAGTAATCTGATTGGAGAAGTACCCCAGGTGAGCTAGGTAGCTAAAAAAGTGCACTGAAGTTTCCTTTAAGGTCGCAAGTGAGCAACAATATGGACTTTTGAAAAGTTCTACCACCAGGTTAAAGTTTGTATAAAAAACAACAACTTTAGTTTGTCTAACCTGACGTCATATGCCTTCTCCTCCTTCCAGACTAGTTACCTTATAAATTCAAATTGTCTATTTTTATTTGAAGCACAATTCTTGCCACGGTTATGTATTGTTTAATTTAATTTTAGCTGCCTAACCAAACCGTTAGCAGGCGCTCCTATAAATTTTTAATACGGATACCTCCTAGTGGGTCACACTCCCATCCATAAAACCTTTACATGTTTTTAATTTTCGTGCTTGCGGTTTATTGGGTGGGCCTAACTCGAGGCATGAGTTCTTTTATTTGTGGGATTAACATCGTTACTTTTATTTCAATTATTTCCTAATTTCGCTAGGGACTGTTAAACTTATAAAATTATTGACGAGCATCCTATTGGATATTTGCTGTAAATTATTTAAGTTATTGGTTTTTCCACCAATAAGAAATTTCAATAAATATCGGCTTCTATGTTATAGTTTGAATAGTTTTTAATGGCTTCAATTTAGTGAATTAAAGCGAACATTGTTGCTGGCCATCGATCAGCAAGGTTAATAAAATCCGACAATATATGCACAAAATGCCTCTCTACTCTACATGACCTCGCGTTGCTCTTTGACCTTGCGTGCCGCTCTGATTTTGCTTGGTTGCTTATTTTTTTTATGCCGTTTTCGTGATGTTTCACACTTTTCACAAGTTTTGCGGAAGTGGGAATGAAGGGTGACCCCTTTGCATTCTACGTTTTTTGAGGAGTAGCGTGAGTTCGACAAACTTTTTTACAATTAGCAGCGCTTGTAATTTTATGACCGACGTAAAAATATTATTATTATTCCGTAACTAATCTGCCCGTTCTCTTTCTGTATCTCGCCCGTTGCAGGTGTCATGACGGCTGTAGCTGATGCGTCAGCGCGGTAAAAGGGAACGGCTCTGGCGTATGGTGCTAATTCGACCGTTCCCCCAACTGAAAGCAGAAGAACTCAGTTGTATCATCCATCGCACACAAACCTGATCGGCGCCCACAAAAACCTGATGGTGTTGACTTTCGAAGATGCCTTCAGCAAACTCCGAAGACTTGCGACGAAAGTTTCTAGTTGTACAACAGCAACGATCCGCACCGCCCAACCTGACCAGCGACAGCCTAGCACAGGCACAGCACCTCACAATGCTGTCGAATGCCCCGACAATGGTGATATCGTCGACCGGTGGGGAGCCGGAGCGCACCTATGTTTTTCCAGGCACGCATCAGGTGGGCAATACGGCCACGGGTGCCATTCCCGGTGGGCCAGGAATACCCGGCGTGGCTATCGTTTCCAGCCATCCAACTACCACGCTAAACCCGGGCGGCTCGTCGCGAGGCGGACACGCGCGATCTGTCAGCCATGGCGGTGGCGCTATTGTCGCCGTCGGAGCCGGCGGTCGGCCCATAAAATCGGCGATGAAGGGACACCAGCGTGCCTTCTCGCAGGGTCAAATTACGGACTCGCCGCCGGGTAGTGCTGTGCCCGCGGGCCGTGGCCACAGTCGGGTCGGTTCGAAGACGGACTTTATCCTTCCGCCCGGACACAAGGACGAGCCGGTCAGGGAACGCGAATTCGGACCGTCGGCGCCAAACTCGGCGACCGGCGGTCGCGGCCACTCTCGACAGGCTTCCCGCTCCGAGTCGATATACACGCTGCGTCGCACCGAGGCGCCGCCCTGGTGGAAACGCCTCAGCCTATGCAACTACGATAGCAATGACAAATTCGAGGAGCGCTGCTACAGAATGGTGGTGCCCAACCACACGGTGCCGCCGAAGACACCCAAGCGAGAGCATCCCAATGGCCAGTTTGTCGGCAATAAGATACGCACAACAAAATACACGCTGCTCTCGTTCATACCAAAAAATCTGCTGGAACAGTTCCATCGCGTTGCCAATCTGTACTTCATTTTTATTGTTTTGCTCAACTGGGTGCCGGCCATCAATGCCTTTGGCAAGGAGGTGGCCATGATTCCGGTCATCTTTGTGCTGGGCGTAACGGCCGTCAAGGATTTGTTCGAGGACCGGCGTCGTCGAGCGTCAGATAAGCGCATTAATAATACGACTTGCCGCGTGTATGACGGGTAAGTCCAATTCCAAATATTAACCAAATTTCAAAACTATACAACTTTACATTTTCAACTTTTTTCATAGTCTTCTTATTTTATAAGTGAAGTAATAAAATTAGATATTCATTCTTTTAAATATCCCTATTGGCAAATAATATAGGAAAAGCAGATATCTTCAGAAAAAAACAATTTTTTTTATTCTTATGGAAAATACACATAAGGAATCCCAACAAATTTATGTTGTAGGCCACATCAATCGTTTGTTTTTTATTTAAATGAGAAACAATGCATTTTTATTTATTTTGATCTGAATTTGTTAGTTTTGATTTGTAAACTTTTTATTTGTAATAGTCCAACTGAATTTTCACAACGATTTTTGTAAATGTACTAGAAGCCGATCGGAATGTTTACAAAAAAGTTGCTTGCCATCGTTTTCCGCCAACTTTCCACACTTTCAGTTGGAATTTGAAAATTCGCTGTACCTCATATACATTAAGATCTTATGTAGGGCTTTGAATATATTCATAAAAACTATTTAGTTGTGTATAAATTGACTTAACGCGTATCTGTTAATTTTATTCCAAAGTGCTTGCACAGGCATTGCTTTTCCTTTGAACGTTTTATTATGCTCTACAGCCTTGTTTAACTATATCAGTTATAAGTAACATTTCCTGACCAAATAAACTACGACTAACTTCAAAAATTCCTTGACCCCGCTCAGCTAATAGTAGGGGCACAGCTTGATGGGCAGGTAAAAAAACCTTGCAGCGGATCAGTGAAATTCCATTCCCTTCCTTTTGGCTACTTAGCTCTGTCATTTTATTTTATATATCCAATAATTATTCTCTGTTTTGTATTCTATATTCGCTTCCAACTCTTCACTATTGTTTTCTCCACTTTCATTACGTTTATTTCAATCTAATTTTATTTTATTAATTATTATTATATTTTACTCGAATTATTATATATTAACTTGGTGAAGTTAATTAAGATAAATTTCTTAATTGTTTTGGCTTTTAGCTTTTAACTTGTGTATTATGATGTATTCATTCGTTATTCATTCTTTAAATGAAGAGTAATATTCACGGCCTAATAACAATTTTAAACAAGCTACCAGCAAAATTGCTTAAGGCCTGTCGATTGATGTAAATTTTCCAAATTTGCCACGCTCCACGGCATATAAATTTCACACTTCAACTGAAAGATTCAAAAATATAAGCATTCCTGGGATAAAGGTCGGGCATGGCCGTTGTATCTTCTGACCGAATATCAAAAGCAAAGTTTTTTTTTTCCCATTTGCCAACAAAAATATAGGTGCCGGCTGCAGAAAAGAATCTGAAAAGGAACAAAAATCTCGACAAAAGTTTGGCTATCGATTGCGCATGCAAAGTTTGCAATTTGTTCGCAAAAGATTATTTTCATATGGTAGCTAGAAACCGATAAACCAGCCGTAAAGCGTGTAGCAATAATGGCGACAACAACAACAAAACAAGCTAACAACAAGAAAAAAAACTGAAAAACTTTCCCTCGAAGTTACTTCGAGTGCGGCTTTGCCAGCTGGCCTCTATTTGTGCCCCCTTTTAAGCTACTTCGACAATGTCTGTCTGGGCTGGCTGTCCCACATTTGAGTGTCGTCGGCGGTCGATGCTTGCCTCAGCTCAGCTCAGCTCGGTTTGCCTCAAGAGTTTCATTTATTTATTTCCCTGCACGCGTCAACTTTCCAACCAAGTGACAATTTACTTAGCTGTCGCTTCGCCTGGCCGTGATACCTGGCTCCCCTGCCCCATTGACGATCTGCTGGCATTTAAAGCCAACAAGCAACTCCTGCTCTTCCTGTTGTTCTAGCTAGCAGTAATAGTTATTGTTGCAGCTCTCATATTCGGATCACAGGGCAAAAACGAGAATATATAGATATATATACTCGTGTGTTTAGAACATATAATGTAATGTAATGTAAAGCATTGTGTTCTCAACCTTAAAAATCGAAAAAGTGTCGACCTCTAATTATTATTTTTTCTAAGTCCCAGCTTAAAAATCTCTAAACATCAAGGAGACCTTTTTCGGCCTACAGAGTATTGTGCAGTCGGTTACTTCTAACTTGTTGCTGTTTCTGTCTGGTCTGCTGTTCAATGAACTTATTGTTGTTGCCAATTAAATATGGGTTTTCCCTTTTTTATTTTGCACACATTTTCGTGAGCTTTAATGATTGTACCCTTGCCGAAGGTATTATAAATTTGTCACAAACAACATCTGGGTCGCCTTAACGCTTGTATATATTCCTGATCAAGCGGACATATATTTATACTTACAAAATTAGGAAAATGCCTTATATTTCGGAGAGTAAGTCATCAATATCGCATATTAAGTTCCTTTTAGTAGAAAAAAAAAAGACTGAAACTTTGGGAACTTCCATTACCAAATGCCCCTTATTGTCTCTTGAAAATAATTGTATTTACTGACCTCCGCTGGCAGAGTTTCTACTCATGGTTTCCGCGAGTCAACACTTACATGCAAATGGGCAGAAAGCATACCAATTGTGGGATGTGCGTGATTTTGAGTGCCAGCAACAAGCCAGGGGCACATTAACGACGCCCACCAGCCTGAGGGCCATTCGGCCAACGTCCGTCTCACGGTCTTCCAATTTCAGCTTGCCCTGAAAACCGCTATCGAGTTCACGACCATGTGCAATGTCTAAAATATGAATGACTCACTGTCGTCTCGTGTGTGCCGAATGCGATTTTCTCGTGGTTGGGTTTGCTCTCCGCTGGCGAAAAATTAACTGACCAAAGATTATTGTTTAGGAATTATATTCAATTCAATCGCGGTATTGCTCCAAACACACCTCCAAATATAGAATTGTCAACTGACAATTAACAACTAGTCAGCCAAATTAAATTAAATGTGATAATTGATCATTCCGGTTGGCAAATTCAAGCAAATGTCTGCAAATTTCAATGACAAAGAAAGATGACACAAATTTTAGAATGCACGAACTCGTTGAAGCTATGATTATGAACCTATAATATCAGTGTTATAGGTTATGGTAGTTAACGTTTAGATGCATTTTCAATAAGGAGTCTGATTATACTATATACTACCGGGTATTGCCCGGCCTTGCCCGTGGCACGTTTTGTTATATTGTCTTTCTACCCGTACCATCTTGATCTACATTTTTATTTAAAAATATGCTTAAAGTTTTCGCCCACATTAGTCCTATGGTGAGAAACTTTAAGTCGAAAAATTAACTTTCGTTTATTAAACCTTTGACCGGCTTTTTCCACCCAAGAGGGATGAACTTTGCGAAAACGTACTGAATACTTTCTTATGCATAATTGTATGTATATATATATTTGTGAAAGTATGTGTTTCTTTTCATAACTTTCTGACACGAGGCCTTATCAAATTAAGTTAAACTGTTGTCAGACATGGCAATTGTAGACCATGATATAGTTCTATTGCCTGGGTTTGTTCTAGACTCCAAAACCGATTCTTGTAACTAGGTGCAATAAATCATAGATTTAAAAGTTGCGCACCCGGACAAGATAGTTGCATTTACATCATATGAAAAAAATTCCAATGGTTCCCTTACATCTCAATCACATGGTCGTTTCAGCACAGTTTGCCGCTATCAATTGCAAACAAAGAATTGCATATACAATCATAAAAATTGCAATTTACGTATTTGTAATACTAATGCAACAAAAAATCAGACAGGAAATAAAACATTCGACACAAATATTATGTTAGATAGTTGTGGCCAGACAGACTAGATAGACATTGTCTTCGAAATAGACTGCAATTTAAAGATGTGTTACTTTAAGGAAACAGTTGCTAAAGTCTTTATAAATAAGGAGTGTAAATGCAAAATAAATAAATTTCAGATGCAATAAAGTATATATATTCCTGAGAATCCGAGTCATTTCCTCCGTGCTTATGAAGTGGTTGTTCTCTAACAAATAAAAAGATTAAGAACAATAAAGATTAGGCACAAGTATTAGCAAAGAATTTATTTTCAGTAGTTTCGGGCCTAGGTGCACTGGTTTACGCTCTAGTTAATTATTCCTCCAATCATGGCACTCGCAGGTGCAAACACCGAGAATGGCTAACTTATTAAGGTGACAATTAAAAGTTGCGGTGCTGTCAGCTGCCGCCTCTCCCAGACACACGGCTGGCAAGTGTGGACTTTCACCGAAATCGCATTAATATTCTAAGACCGGGCCGCGGGTTTCTAGGGCCACAATTCGCACCTTCTAGGCGCTTAGATTGCTAGACTGACAAAGAGTACGAGACGTGTTCAAGGTTGTTCTCAGAGTTAGTGCGAGTCGTATGAAACAAAGCTAAATAAATGAATACCCAAATAGCTAACCTTGGAAAGCATGCGAAGCAGCTGCATATAAAATATTATTAATTATATACTATAGGTGTACTCTCTAATCGAGCGGTACTCCCGTCGATAGACATACTAATTTTAATGTTGATATCCTCCGCATTCGGGCTAATAAGTAGAGCTAATTGGCTCTGGTCTGGAGTGCCCGACTAGGAAATACCCTAGAACCTTCTTCTACCAAGGTAAAGTAAATGTTTATAAAAAAGCGTATTTCCCTGTGCTAATTGAATTTATTCTGGTTATACGATGAATTGATTTTAAAGCAAAACAAAAACGGAATTAAAACATGCAGCATAGAATACAATTGCAAAACCAATTCTGTTTATAGAATTCAAAACAGAAGCCCATATGATTGCACGTGTGCACATAATTACGGATAGATATGGCTAAATCGACACGGAATATATATACTCTGTGGGGTCGGATCTGCTTTCTTCTAACACACTTGCACAAAACGATTATACCCATTTCCAATGGACTCGGAGTATCAAAAGGCAACTGATGACATTGAAAACGTTTCAATATGGCAACTGAAAAACGGGTTTTTTTTTGTAAAGTTGTCGCCGAACAAACCGGTTGGCAATCAGCTTTGTTGGCTGCTGGAGTTGATGTTGTCTAGTAAGAATCG